CTTAATCTATAAACATACTACTTTGATCTGAGCTTTGATGAAATGAGATCAAAGCACCCTAACCAAACGGTGGAACCGGTAGTAACAAAAGACTACTAATAAAGAGATAACCTATGCTACTAATGCCAAACAATAAGCACCTAAGCTCACTAATGATGAACAATAATGAACAAGTACTTAAGTAAAGCAAAGCAATAATACTAGAATAAAGTACTAAATATAAAGTACTAAATAAAGTAAATGCTAAATGAAAGATTACAAAGGAGCTATACCAGACCCAGAAGGCTCTTCCGAACTCCGAGAGAAGCTCTATAATGGGAACGGGGATCCTGATCTTCCGTTAGGTAGAGGTAACTATCGTTGTGGCGGAGAATGACACAGTGATCCGGCTTCAGATCGAAAGATCGAACCCTGCAATCTTAGCACCGTAGCTCCTCTGGTTATCAACCGAGTCATGGACCAGGTTGACCTCGCCAAGAAGGTTAATCCCTGCCTGCGCAACGAAGAACACAAGCAAGAACAAGAAAGAACACAACCAAATTGCAGATGAACGATTAATCTCACGAAGTTGGGATCTCACAAACCGATGAACGGCAAAACTGTTCTTGACAAAATAATCCAAGCAAAACCCGAACCCTAATGGAGGAGCGGCGGCTGTTTATGAATACTCTAGGATTGTGCAAGACCCCTGGACGCACCCCTAATGGGCCCAAACACGATACATGGTCCAACAGACCAAAAGACGATGTCGCAGCACCTGGCAGATTCTGGATGCTGACTTGTGACCACGATTTCTGTTGATTCCGAATAGTTTTTGATATGAGACCACTTGGATTGGCTTCCTTATCAAATTAGCTTTCCATCCATATGTGGATCGTCGAAAACAGAGTCCGAATGCGTCCTGGGTGACCAGTTTAAGGCAGACTGGTCCTAGAGGCCAAGGCAGACTCAAAATCATGTTGGATCGAGCCTCCGGTTTCTGTTGGACGTCCTTGCTGGTCATCATCGCCTCCACCACGTCCTCTAAGTCCCTCATGACCCTCTCCAATGTTCCTAAGCAAAATAACATCATTAGGTAGTAGTCTATTCTCAAAAGTATGAAAAGGATCGCTTAAGAACGAGCTCACCTCTAAATTGAGTTGACACATTCGAGCCCGGGTCATTGGACCTTTCATGATGGTTGGAGGATCAGTTGGTACATCCGAAGGAGTGATGTCCTCATCACTCTGCTCTTGCTCTACTCCACTACTAGACTACTACTACTAAGCTACTAAGCTAGAGAGCTTGAAGAAGCTTGGAGAACTTGGAATATGAATGGGGCACTTCTCCATGGAGCTCCACACCCTCTATTTATAGTGTAGAGTGAGGGGGCAACTTGTAGGCTGCTAGGTGGTCAGTGGCAATCCTAGGGCGCTGGGCACTGGCATAGGGGCACTGGGCAGACCTAGGATGCAGCGCCTTTACATCCTATGGCGCTGGTTGGCTCCCAAAGGCGGTTGAGTGGCACGTGCGGAGATTTGGATAGGAGGCTGGTTTGGAGGTCGGTTGGAGGCCTCCAAGCCTATGACGGTGGGCCAGTGGATCCGCGTCAACTCCATCTCATCCATCAGTGCAAACCGACTTAGATTAATGCTTAGCATTGCTTCTGGAGTAGCTCCCACAGATCCGGGACATGGTAGGGCCACTTGGGGGGCTGGGTGGCACCCTTGTGGGGCCAGGTGGCGTAGCATGTGGGCCCTTGGGCACCTGCCATGTCCACTTGCCTCCCAAGTCCATATTTGTCACCATTTTGGCCCATTTTTGCTAAAATTTCCTGCATACAAATAATTCTACAAGCACAAGTGGAACTAGGTGAATTATAAACAAAATTCAACACATGTGATGATGATTTAACTCACTTTATCATGCTTCTGGGTGGAATGTTGATGGTCAAAATAGGTGTTAGTGACCGTCAACAAGCTCCCCCAAGCTACCCCTTTGCTTGTCCCAAAGCAAAGATGCAAGTTTAGCATAGAATAGGTGTTGGATCTGGAGTTGCTACTATGTAATGCCCTATAAAAACTCATATACAAACAAATACTATCTCTTGAATTGAACATGTTAGTACTTAGAGATCCATCATCGGTCTTAGCAATGTGGGACTTATAGCTTTCACCTTGTCACAAGCAATTGCAAGAATGTGTAGCTAGACAGATATTTTTTGCCTACTTTGGTTTAGCTCAAACTTCCAGGAGGTTTTCAATAGATTTTGAAAAGAAAACTTGCCTAAGTTCCTTAGATGGTACACTTAAGTCACTCAATGGTGTTTGAAACCTCACCAAGGCCATGAGTCTTAGCCTTAATATTTATCCTAAAGCTTATGTGGAGCTCAAGGTTGGAAATAAAAGCTTAGCCCACTTGAATTGAATGTATTGCTAAGTCAAACACTTGGATCACAAGGAGCAACAAATCATACTAATTGATCAAGATGTTCATGTGTGTGGTATATTTGGTGGAAGTGGTACTCCTTTGAGAAGTTTTCCTTCTCTAGCTTCTTTTTGAGAGGGCATGGCTACTTTTCTTTTTCTAACTCTTTTTTTAACACTAGAGCTTTTAGCTCTTTTCTTCTCTCTCACTTCTCTTTTTCTGTAGCCCATGCCTCTCTTTTTGATGAAACATAGCTAGAGAGGTAACTTTGATTCTCATAGAGCAAAAATGAATGAAAAGCATATGTGTGGTTGCGTATTCCCAGTGTAGGAATAGCATAGGTATGTGGGTGTACGTGATCTTGATAAAAAATCATGACAAGTTTCTCTACTCATATCAACAAGGCTTGAAAAAGCTCAAAACAAACAAGTAGCTTTTATGGTGGCTTTATCATGTATAAATGGATATATATTTGGCTCTAGTAGGAATTTATCACTATTGAGGAACTTCTAGCAAGAAAGTTTTAGCATTTTGCAAAACAAAACTCCTGGTTGTTTTTTACCATTCCTCAGATAGATTCAAAGATTTACTCTAATCTTGGCCACAACATATCTCACAAGAACTTATACTTGGTTCTAGCATTTGCAACCCACGAAGGCATTCAACTTAAGATGAACTCTAAGTTATCATGCTCAAAACTTAAGAAGTATCAGGTTCTATGACAAGCTTTTGCAAGGTATCACAGAGAAACTATTCATCACCTCCAAATAAATTTATCATCATTTTATTAGAGCAGAGTTTTTTTAAGATAAATTCAAGGTACTCCTCTCTACATTCTATGATCATGGATATTGACATGTAAAACAAACATGAATGTAAAGAGAGGGTTTAAGATTTTCATATCTGAGCGGGAAAAGATGTCTCTCCTAAGCTTGCCTTTTGCATAGGTTGGAATGTCTTCTGACAGCTTCTTTGATTCTTTCTTTATTGACTAAATACTAATACTAGAATGCATAAATAACTAAATGACCAGACCTATTACTACTAGATAACTCATTCAGTATGACTACTACTAAATATTACTATTATTTATTTTTATTACTATTATTTATTTATTTATTTTATATGTTTTTTTAAATGCAAACCCTATCCTAACATGCATAGCTACTATAGACTTTATTTATTAACATAGAGTAGCCCAATGCAACTAACTAATCATTCAATGCAAAGCAAATTTATGAGATGCAACTAATGAAATGCAGTAAATATGTAAGGGATAGAAAACTTACCTTTTTTATGGACTCAAGGTTATTCTTCCTTGAGCGGGGGCATTTCCCTTGTTCCACCTTGGAGGCCTTGTCAGGATCAGGAGATGACTAGTTTGAGGACGGATCTTTTTTTTATGCCATCTCTTTCTATTATTCTTTTTCTTGACAGGCTCTCCAGTTCTTCAATCGGCTTTGGTTTCTTCATCTTGATTCTCTTTAGATGCTTCCACTTTTCCTGTTTCTCATCAAAGAGGGTTGTCCAGAGGCAAAAGTAAATATTTCTTTCTTTCCAGCAAAGTAGAATTGGATTTGCCCAGAAGCCACATATATGCAAGCATTTGCAGTATTAAGGAATGGACGACCAAGGATTAAAGGTGTATCCTCGGCGTTGCCCATGTCTAAAATCATAAAATCTATAGGAACATAAGAACTCCTAACTTTAACTAATAAATCAATAGCTACTCCCTCAAGATAACGGGTGGATTGATTGGCTAGGATTGAATGAAATAAAAAAATTGAATACATGTTGCTCCGGCTACTCCTGATGTCCCCTTATACAAAGTTAAACCATTCGATACATGTTGCTAATATACTATCACAACTTAAATTATATTTTTATTTGATATTTTTTCTACATCCTCGGTTTCTTAATCTGAACGAGTTTTAGATTTCGAAGACCATTTAAGATTCAAAATAACTCAAGCTTACGAAATTTACAAGATTAAAAGATCCGGTGCTTAGAAATATAAGTACCGCAAAGTGTAAAGTTCATAGATATTCATTAACATAAGTACCACAAAAATAAAATTGGAATTTCGGATGAACATTAATTTTTTGCCGCCTACTGTAATGCATAATAATAAAAACTTGCCGCCTAATGGCAGTGTTTACATTTTGGCCCCGTTTGACAGGGTTTCTCCACCGGCTTCAGGAGCCGTTTGGAGCCGTTTTCTACCAAACGGGATAAAGTAAAATAGCTTCACTTGTGAAGCCCCTAAAAACATGCTCTCACAGTGATTTGGGGTGGGATGGAGCCAAAAAAAAGTGGCTTCTCCCGACTCCTCCAGGCCTCTAAAAATATGTTCTCACAGAGAAGCCATTTTGCCAAACGGTTTACCAAAACCGCTTCAGCTCCACCGGTGGAACTGTTCGTAGAGCTGAAGAAGAAAAAAAAATGGCTTCACTAATTTTCGCGCCTAAACTGCCCCACGATCTGAGATTTACGGAAAAAGCGCATCCATTATCCTCCCTCCCTCCCCCGTCCACATCTGAGTCGGCGCAGCACTCGCGGCACGCCCGCATCCCCAATTCCTCGACGCCGACGCATCAACCGCCCAACACTTGGCCGCTCCTTGGACGGCACCAGCCATCCACCGATCGTAGACTCGTCGTCGCTCTTGTCCGCAGAGGGCGGACATCTTCCCTTCCCATCGTTGCCGTCCACATCTGCCATCGGTGAGCATACTTCACCCTTTCCCTCTGCTCCAGGGCCAGCCGTAGCCGAGAGCGGCAGCCGAGCAGCGGCGCAGGCCGGCAGGCAGGCAGCCAGGCCCGGCCGCCAGGGCAGGCACCAGCCATCGCCGGCCAGGCCGCCAGGGGCCAGTCGCAGCAGGCCTGCAAGACGACCAAGCCACCAAGGGCCACGGCCACTCGCAGCAGCACTCTGCAGCAGGCAATGCATTTTTTGTTTCCATTTGTCTCTTTTTACACATTTTAATTTCAGATGCAAGTTGAATCCAATCCCAGTTTTCTGATTTACTTGTTGATAATTAGTTTCCAGGAATTAATTTGAGTTGCATATGCCAATGTGGAGATGAATCTTTGGGAATTAGGAAGATGGGGAAATACTATCTTATGTGGAGATGAATCTTTGGGAATTAGCTGCATATGTTTGCATCTATTAAACATGAAATTCTTTTTTAAGGCTTTTCAAGGAATAAGAAACTGTATGATAGATTTGCCCCACAACAGATGAGCGACATATATTGTTTTCCCAAATTTTCTAGTCACAAGGTTGATCCGAACGTTCTTTGAGCATTTTAAATTAATGTTATTAGTTCAGGACTTCAGGTGATTCTCTCATCACATCTAGGGCACTTTTTTTCTCGCACTTCAGTTTGGTGTTGTCAATCAGTGTTTGGTTTTTCTATATTGTGGCATAGCTGCCAAAAACATGGCCAACAAAATCAGTATTGCATTTTTAGCGCTTCCTGTGCTGTGTCCTGAGAAAGTAAATGTTATATTTAGTTGCATTCAGATTTGTCCCATGATCCGGTGGGATTGGTCCCTGTGCCTATGCTGCTACTAGCCTAATATATATTACTGTTGCAGCTACCATCGATTAATTCATTCTAGCCTAACTGGTCATATCTGTTTGAACATAGTGGTAGGTTCAGATACTTTTGTCTTCGAGGACTTTATTTTGGTGATGCAACTTTGCAATGAAGCACTAATGTCTGGCTGGATGCTACTGCAATCATTAGAATTCGGCAAGTTACTGATTTTATTCCCTAGATGGTCTTACTCACTGGATTCTAGTGTTATGCTCCTTAATGTAGAGATTAGTCTGGGTTTATTTTGGAGTTTCAGAAAAGAAGGGATTATTGGAGCAAAAAATACTGAACGTCTGAGTGTTTTATTGGTTACTCTATATTGGTCTAGTGATCCATTGCAGTAGTTTTTAGTTCAAAGTTGACATAAAGTTAACCATTTTGGTTGGGTAAATTGACATTAAATCACCTGTCCTCTTTTTGTGTAATTGTGCCCTACCATGCCAAGTAGTTTTGGCCTTTATGAATCAATCTGCTGTTTTCTGTCTTCTGATAATGTGTATGGAAACTGAATTTCCTTTGACCTGTAGATTGGAGATTAGTAGCTACTACTAGGTTGTGCCCGTGCGTTGCTACGGGACAACTAAACTTTTGTACTAAAAACACCCGGATTGCACGATAAGATAACAATACTGTGAAATTAAATACAGACATTAAAGTGACATTAATCCAAGAAGTTCGTAAAATAAACACAGTTACGGAGAGTGCGGCGTCGCATGCTCACAAACTTTATTGTATAGATCTTTTCGTGATGCGGCTACGATAATGTTTTATATTGGGAGGAAGAAATCTCTGATATCTGTTTCTTTCGTGCGCCAATAAATCCACGAACTCCATGCCATCATATACACAGGTTTGAGTATATATGTAAATATTAGTGCCTGTCATATGGGTAATACTACGTGTCTTGAAAAATCTCTCACAAAACCTTAAAACAAAGTATGTTATACTCACTGTATAAATATGTGATGCTTTAGATCTATTCTACGCAAACATATACTGTAAAATAAGAAGTGAAAATTTATATAAAAATAAAACAAAAAATCAGATTTATTAAGATTGATGTCTTATATATTGTATAACCAAAAGCAGCTTTTAGCGTGTTCAAATTTCACAGCACCATCAACCCTACTTTTGGGTGTATTTGATTGAGGAGCTATGACTTTTGTAAAAACTACCGCCGGCCTCTCTCAGTTACGAGCGGACCCAAAACGTACTGCCCCTCATCAAGGTAGGACCTTCTCGTTGGACACCAGCAGTTTCGACGCCTCTTTGGCCAGGTTGAACAGTTCACAGAGCGTAGACCGCATTGATGGTGCATCTCTTTCCTTCATCTTCAACTACAGATGGTATGCCGATAAAACACTAACAAAAACAAGTGTGTCAGCAGATTCGATGGATGATATTCTAACTACTGAAGTATTGAGTAGATAACCCATCCTCTCGTGCTGACTGAATAAACTGAACTGTACTATATTGAAGTGTTCTACACCTTCTGAAATGTGCAACTATAGAAGCCAATGACCTAGTACACGGATAGGAAGAGCACCTGCACAACCAAAATAGATAGATACCGAATGAGAAAGTATTTTACTTCTATACTTTTGTACACAAGTAGCACTAAAAAATATGCTAATATGCACTACATGATTTATAATCCCAACATTCAAAAATGATATTCTAGTAGAATCTGCTTACCACCCAAACAGTGTTCGAAAAAAGGGGTTATGTTGATGCTCAGAACTACAGCTCAACTCAAAAGGAATTGACGTTTCGTTCCTGCTTATGATATTAGTTGATATCTAAGTATTGTGCTGTTGATATCAGTTAGTATCTAAGGCCGAAAAATTCTCTGTATAATATTTTTCTTATTTTTCACACCTTAAGGATACACGTTCACCACCTATGCGGGCGGTCGCGCGACGCCCGGATTGCCATTGCCGAGCTTGTCCTCGTCGCGTCGTCCTCAAAGCTTGACGTGAACACTAAACACTGAACACCTCATTCCTACAAAAAAAAGACGATGATATAGCAGTTCGGTGAAGCACCTTAATATAATTCATTAATTGGACCAAGATCCAAGTATCCAAGAGCTATCAAGTCTACAAATTTGAAGACAATATATGCAGTCACCCCGAAAATAAAATACAGCTCACTTCCATCAGCTTGCTTAGGAACGTCCCCCTGAAAACTTCTATAAAGTGTAGTGCGTCACTCAAATTGAATTTAGGAACACACCATTTTTCACGCAGCGTGTTTGCCCAATGCTCACTTCATCAGAAAGCTACAATTCCATCACGGAAGCAATAGAAAAATCAAGGCACACAAAACTACAAATCAAGGGAAAAATCCAAGAGACAAAAAAGGTAATCAACGCTTAATCATTCTCACAGCATGACAGTGGCGAGCTCACCTGGCACTGGGCGCACGCCGCGGTACGTCTGGTTCGAGGTCGGCGGGGAGGCCGAGGAAGCCGCCAAAACGGTCGTAGGTGATGTGCGAGACGTGTGGCACGTCCATGGGCTGCCCAATCTCGATCCGCTCCTCGTCGCTGTCCTCCTCGTGATCGTCGTCATCAACACCCACGGCGCCAGTGCTGCACATCACCAGCGACTCCGCAGCACCCCCACGATGGTGCCCACCAGCCCTCCAACTCCTCCTCCCCTCCCCACCTAGAGCATCATGCCATCATCTAACCATTATTCTGCTGCAGAACCTAACCATTTTGAAAAACATGTTATATTGATTTTTGAGTGAACTCAAGTAATCACAATCTCAACAAATATTTAATTCAAACATCAGGAAGGACTTAAATTGGATGTACCTCGACAGCAATCAAACAATTGACAAGATAACTGCAACAACCGAGCATTTCCAAGAAGCAACAAATATGACACTAAGTCGACAGGACTAACCAGAGGACATAGATGTCATGAGGAGACAGTGACAAACATGGCATACATTGGCGAGTACAGAATCACATGCCTTGCGATAGGCAGCAAAGAACCAGATCAGTTTCAATTCTAAATACCCTGCTCAACAAGGTCACGAAGCACCATCCCCAGCCTATAAGCACTACTTACAGAGAAGCAATCTGATTTTTCATCAATCCATGCCACAAAATCCTAGCGAGCAAGCTATGGAAATGGTCCACATCTGCCTCAGGACACTTTGTCTATAAGCCCATAATTCTGTTTCATGGGATACTCTTCAGTTTTGCTAGAATGGGAGTTGTATTTTCTATTAACAGTCATTTATGATTTTAAATGAAGGAGTTATATCAGGACACCTTAACGATGATGATCATTTCTCATTTAGATATAGCTATAAATGCAGTATATTTATTCTGTCGACAGTTGAGGAGAAATGGAGAATTAGACCTTTTGCCTGTCGTGTAATTCTTTTTGGACTTTTTTTCCTATCGTGCAATTCTTTTTGGACTTTTTTTTCCTAGCGCAATTGAAACAGGATTAGATATTTGGTTGACACAATAGATGGCAGGTCTTTATACAAAATCATAAGGTTGTCTCCAACAGGAGACCCATCAGGAGAGCCAAACCCAAAATGGGTCTCCAACAGAATACCTATAGCCTCCAACAGAGTGCCTATATAGAAGACCCATTTTGGGTGTCAGGAGAGATATAACCAAAATCTGAGTATTCTCTCTCCTGGAGACCCATTTGCAGAAAGGGTTCTCTTTTGGGTCTTATTGTTGGAGAAGACCGAAAATAGGTATTAAACCTTTTGCCTGTAGCGTTACCCAAACGTGGAATGTGTCTTGTATTTTGGGTAACCGTTGTTGGAGAGAGTGAGCAGGGTTGAGGAGAATACCTAAGGTGCAGAAGGTGAAGTGACACTGTTAGATGCACCTTGCTGGATAAGGCCTCCAGTGTTTGCCTTGATGATGCCCTAGCTGCTGATGTGTCAGAATGTGTGACAATTGCATTATGTTACTCGGGCCAAAAAAAACAACATGCATATGAAAGCAATGTCGCGTTGCTGTCAGTCTACCAAACATACAAATGGACTGAAAAACCTCAATATGTATTTGGTGTAAATTCCTATTACAGGCAATGTACATCAACCCAACTCTTGTACATCCCTTATCAGTAGCAACACTTAACCAAGGCATATACATCAAGCCATCCTATTGCTGTTAATGACTGCAACTATGACTAATAATTGTAGGGTATAATGGGGTATAATGATCTTGATTTTTTTTGAGAGAGTCTATTGACTCTTTTCATA